TGAATGCTACTTATAGGAACGTATATCAGTAATATAGAGTGCAACATTAGAAAACACAAGAAATGATAACGATTGACTATTGAAGATTCTAGAGAACTAGGATGACATGAACACGTCACACTGATATGTCGAAAAAAGAGAATGATAGCCAATGTGACTTGATTGTAGTGATTAAAATAATAGAACTTTTCCATGTCATATCTTTCCTCCTGAATCTTCAGTAATCGTTGATAATCGCTTTTCAAGTTTTCTAATGTTGCACCATAAAATACTGATACACATTCTGATACGTAGTGTTCACCACATTCGGACGAAATGGGTGAAGTAGTTTTAAGTCTTTAATCTAGCAATTATCTGTCAAATGATTAGGATGCAACCTTAATCACCTATTCGATTTCAAAGAAACCAATGTGACATACAATAATCAGATAATATATCTGTCACTCTGATTTTTACTTCTTTGACATGTCTATAATAAAAGTTGTATCACAAGCATTTCTTGTCGACATAAACACAGGTTTCTAATTTTCTTTATTTGCTTATTGTTCTACTGACGTCCATTCAAATAACAGATGCAACTTCAAAACCACATAAAGTGGTTGAAATCTTTGGCATGTTTTATTTTTAAGGATAATGAAGGAACATGAAACTTTACCAGCCTAGAGGTATGGATACTTTGAATTATTATTATTAGTCCCTTGGGTTCCTAGTGGAACATAGGGCTTCAGTAGCACGCCTCCAGTGACCTCTGTTCTCTGAGATCTTTTGAACCTGGTCCCACGACAGCCCAGAAGCTCTCATTTCCTGCTCGCACGACTTCCTCCATGTCACCCTTGGACGTCCAACTCGTCGCTTCCCATGGGGATTCCACTCGAGTGCCTGGCCTGACGCGTGATGTCCTCCGTCGGCCTTCTCAGAACATGGCCAATCCATCTCCACTTCTTCCTGCATATTTGTTGAGCGATAGGTTCTTGGTTGGTTCGTTCCCAGAGTTCCTTGTTGCTTATTTTTTCTGGCCATCTGATCTTCAGCAGCGAGCGTAAGCAGTTGTTGATGAATGTCTGTAGTTTATTGGAAATGCCTTTCGTGACGCGCCAAGTCTCTGAGCCATACAAGAGCACTGACTTGATTGGGTTGGTGTTGAAAATCCGTATCTTGTTCCGCATGCTGAGTGCAGAAGATCTCCACACTGGTTTCAAGCTAATGAAGGCCTGTCTCGCTTTTCCGATTCTGACTTTGACGTCCTCGTCCGTCCCGCCTGTAGTTGAATTAGTGCTGCCTAGATAAGTGAAGGAGGTTACTTCCTTCAAGTTTCTCCCATTGACGGTGATTGGAGTTTGTTGTTGTTGTTGATGGTGGTGGTGCGGTATCTTCATCACCTCTGTCTTCTCTATATTCACCTGAAGTCCCGTCTTCGCTGCCTCTTCTGTCAACTTGTTAGTTTTTGCCTGCAGATCTTCAAGTTTATGTGACATCAAGAACAAGTCATCGTTGGCGAAATCCAAGTCTTCTAGGTTCTTTTCCGTAGTCCAGTGTATCCCCCTCTTCTCGCTGCCTACTGTTTGCTGCATGATCCAGTCCACCACAATAAGGAATATCATGGGGGATAGTAGACAACCTTGTTTCACTCCTGTCTTCACTTCACTTCAAAGGCATCACTGAGCTTCCCATTGTGGATTACTTGGCATGTGGCATCTTCATATAGTTGTTGAATGAGGCGGATAAAGGTTTGCGGTACTCCGTAGTATTGAAGCAGTTTCCAAATTACTTCTCGGTCGACGCTGTCAAAGGCCTTCTCAAAGTCGATGAAGTTGAGGTAGAGAGCTGATTGCCATTCTATGCTCTGTTCTATGATGATACGAAGCGTTGCAATTTGGTCAGAACATGATTTGTACTTCCTGAAGCCTGCCTGTTCCGCAGTTTTGAATCCAGCGCGTCTTTAAGCCTCTCCAGGATGATGCGGCTTAATATTTTGCTTGCTGTGGGTGGACAGGAGAGTGATTCGGCGCCAGTTCTTGCAAGCACTGAGGTCTCCCTTCTTCGGCAGTTTGACAAGGTAACCCTTCTTCCAATCACTAGCCAGGTACCTTCTCTTCCTTCCACACCTTCTGCAATAGTGGTGTGGTGTGAGCATTTCCGCTGTTGTCTCTGCATCTGTTCTCAGTGCTTCTGGCGGTATTCTATCTGGTCCTGCTGCTTTCCCGCATTTCAGTAGCTTTATGGCGTTCAGGACTTCCATTTTTGTTGGGGGATTAATGTTCACTTGTAATTCAGCGGCTGCAGGTGGTATTTCTGGACGAAGTGCAGGTGGTGGTCGATTCAAGAGCTTCTTGAAGTGGTCGGCCCATTGTTTCCTCTGTTACTCTTCTTTTGTAATTAAATTTCCTTCTTCATCTTTTATTGGTTTCATCTGTGTTGGTCTCTTCCCTGATAGCAACCTGGTTATTTGATCCAATGTCGTCAGGTCTCTCTTACCTGCAGCCTGTTCTGCTTCACTTGCCAGTGTGTCGTAGAAGTGTCTTTTGTCTTTCCGTGCACTCTTCTTTACTTCTTTGTCCAGTGTTTTATACATTGTGCTCAGTTCCTCTTGTCGTTGAGCATCCTTGCACTGGTTTATCTTCTGCTTCACCATCCTCCTCTCCTCTATCAGCTTCCAGGTATGGATACTTTAAATACTGACAAGATATTTCACCAGATAGACCACGAGACAAGACAGCTAACAAAGTCAGTTTATGCATAGAGGGGAAGATCTGATAATGAATTTAAAATACAAACAGGCCTGAGAAACAAGTTACATATAACTGGTTTAATCATCTTTCAATCTTACACGAAAGCTAATGATCATAAAACAGTACGCTGAAATGAAGAGTTTCCATCGACAACTAACTACTTAGCAAGCTGTGGTGAAAGTGGTTTTCATGTATCTTGACTGAACACAGGTCCTTTACCACTCACTCATAGAACATAAAAGCCACCAGTGCAATTTAAGGCCAATACTTCACCTATAGAATAAAACAAATTTTGAAGCGATGGTTTCACAAAGTTGGTCGTCATATGATTAGATAAAGTCAACAGCGTATGGAAGGAAAGCAGAATATAGTCACTTTTTTCACATTTCTTTGAATTTTTATGGCAATGGGGATACAGTATCAAGCCGATGAACTGAACAGCAGAATCAACGTAGAACCTCTTATACAAGTGCATTGGTTCAGGTTGTTACACTTCACTGTGATATACAAATAACAAGTGAATAGGAAAGACTGACATGACAGTACAAAAATGTGTGTGGGAGGAGAGGAAATTAAAAAATTAAAGTTAGTCAACACATCCGAACTTCAGAAGAAATCAAAGAAGGAATACATCCGCACCACTGTGACCTATTTACAGCCAATTCAACAAGACTTGTCAACCACTGATTCTTATCGATTTAGGGACCCCAGCGAGATAGTCTGCACTTTATTAGATGGCTCAGATCACCAGTCAAGGAATTCATCAGTTGTTGGCACGTCTTATCCAGTCTACGCCTTTCCAGTCTAATCTAACTTTCTCTGGCATGGCGTAGCAAGGTAGGTGGTGGCTTGACATTTGCAAAACATGTCCAAGCCATTTCAGTCGATGAAAGTTCACAATCCCAGTTTCTCACTTGCTTTCTTTCCCTAAAATCATTCACCTGACCTCAACATTGTTCACATGGGGTTCCACAATAGGCGAGCAGTGCTACAAAAACTTGTAACCGCTTCATCTCTTACACTTTTAACGAAAATGTCCCACAGCAGTATAACAGGATAAAACGAACTGAAGTGCATCATACCTATCCTTTAAAAGGTAGTCGGGTATCTCACCGGTGAGAAGCACGATGAGACACGAAGGCGAAGAAGCTCTGTTTACTTACATTTAGACCAGTAGCGTCAAGTATAGACATCTTACCCTACAACGATTCTACATACTATGAAGTAAACAGTGATGCACTCTGGTTAGAAATAGTTTTTAAAGAAAAAGTGAAAGTGAAGTATTTTCTTCAATAAAATTTCATCAGGTCCTACAGTTCTAAACTGGAACTTTCTATCATTAAACTAAATCATTACACAGTTTATGCATGTTTAAGTCATTTTAACACTGACAAGTTTAAGAAGGAAGATCATACTGTACATGCTCTTTAATTCACATTTTATTTTGAAAATGCAATTGCCTTAAAATTGTACTGTATATAATGCTTATCAATTTTATTTTATAACTGAATAATCCGGTGAGAATATATTCAACTTTTAGTTCTGAAGAAGGCTATATGAAAAGTTGTTTTGAGTGAAAAATATTAATTTATATGACCCATGATCAATATTTGACTAAATGGTATTGAAATTATTGGATACTGAGTAAAAGGTTGACATTAGATATAGTTGTATTTGTGTAAGTTACAGCGTGTTTATATTAAGGTTGATACATTTCAGTCAGAATAGAAAATCAGCATTGAACTTCATTATAGTGAAGTATTATTCATGCTTGTTTGAAATCCCTTATACAGTCACAATAGTCATTCATATCTATAATTTTACAACAGTTGGTTACAGAAAAATCAATCATGGGTATTGCTGATAAATTTATACAAAAGAGACATACCCTCCACTAAGAATAACTATGAAGAGAAACTAAGTGACAATAAAAACCACTATCCGTTTATAATAAGAAGGTTCTAGTAACTTAAAAGTCTTAAGGACGATACTTCTATGTTGCAGAAGATTCACGTTGGGTTAGGATCCCCGGAGAAGCATCAACCCATGATACTATTTACCTTTATATCTGATGAGCGTAAACAGGATACAACTCCTCATAGAGGAGTCTATGTTACTTTATCAAATAATTTCCACTTCCTGATAAGATTACATCAGTAAGAAGTGATCTCTGCCTTTGATTAATAAATGAAAAAAACATACTCTCAACATATGATTGCCCAACAGGATGAATTTATACTCTCAGACTGATTTACTTTCATTGATACATACCTGTCTTATTCGACGGAAAGTATCTTGACTGACATTAGCAAAAATATTTAATTCTGGATGATTCACTATGCTGAATGCTACAGCACAATGATGATTTTCTAGCGGTGATATATCATTGTACCGGATAGCGAGTTCAGTTCTTGCATTGATCTGATAACTGTGAAGAAAAAAAGGAAAGAAACAGGAGTGGATAGAATTTCTAAGTACTTTTGAGTTGCATGAAAAATAAAGTAAGTTGGCTAATAGGCACGATACAATTTTAAGGACTGAAGTTACAAAGATACACAGGTTAACCTAACTGCATACATTATAAGTCAGTATTAAGCATAGTAATTTATTCGAACGAAATCGATTAGTAGATGAGGATCATATAGATTCCCTGCTCAGTTGAGCTAATTTTTTTATGCAGCTGGGAAACTTAAATAGCTCATTTTTGATTGATGACACAATGTTATTGTAGGCTACCTTTTGGAATCAAATGTTTCGACTACAAAATCAGGTAAAAACCTAAATGGACTGCTGAAGTATATCAGCCTTCTCAAAATGTTTATGTAATTCACAATTTGTAGAATTATTATTATTATTATTATTATTATTATTATTATTATTATTATATTATTAGTCCCTTGGGTTCCTAATGGAACATAGGGCTTCAGTAGCACGTCTCCAGTGACCTCTGTTCTCTGAAATCTTTTGAACCCGACTCCATGACTGCCCACAACCTCTCATTTCCTCCTCGCACGATCTCCTCCATGTCACCCTAGGACGTCCAACTCGTCGCTTCCCATCTGGGTTCCACTCGAGTGCCTAGCCTGGTGCGTGATGTCCCCAGTCGGCCTTCTCAGTGTATGCCTAATCCATCTCCATTTCCTCTTGCATATTTGTTGCTTGATAGGTTCTTGGTTAGTTCGTTACCAGAGCTCCTTGTTGCTTATTCTTTCCGGCAATCCATCCGAGCTTCAGTAGCGAGCGTAAGCAGTTGTTGATGAATGTGTGTAGTTTGTTGGAAATCCCTTTCGTAACGCACCAAGTCTCTGAACCATACAGAAGCACTGACTTGATGTTGGTGTTGAAAATTCGCAACTTGTTCCACATGCTGAGTGCAGTGCAGAAGATCTCCACACTGGTTTCAGGTTAATGAACGCCTGTCTTGCTTTTCCGATTCTGACTTTGACATCTTCGTCTGTGCCGCCGCCTGTAGTTGAAACAGTGCTGCCTAGATAGGTGAAGGAGGTTACTTCCTTTAAGTTTCTCCCGTTGATGGTGACTGGAGTTTGTTGTTGTTGTTGATGGTGGTGGTGCGGTATCTTCATCACCTCTGTCTTCTCTATATTCACCTGAAGTCCCGTCTTCGCTACCTCTTCTATCAACTTGTTAGTTTTTGCCTGCAGATCTTCAAGTTTATGTGACATCAAGAACAAGTCATCGTTGGCGAAATCCAAGTCTTCTAGGTTCTTTTCCGTAGTCCAGTGTATCCCCCTCTTCTCGCTGCCTACTGTTTGCTGCATGATCCAGTCCACCACAATAAGGAATATCATGGGGGATAGTAGACAACCTTGTTTCACTCCTGTCTTCACTTCACTTCAAAAGCATCACTGAGCTTCCCATTGTGAATTACTTGGCTGGCATGTGGAATCTTCATATAGTTGTTGAATGAGGCGGATAAAGGTTTGCGGTACTCCGTAGTAATGAAGCAGTTTCCAAATTACTCCTCGGTCGACGCTGTTAAAGGCCTTCTCAATTTGTAGAATATGTATACATAAATATTCAGTCCCACAACTCCAATGATTTTCAATACAATTCTGGCTATATCCATCCTTACTTTTCAAGTTTATTTCAGATAGATGAGCTATGAGGGTTACAGATTATTTCTGAAGACAACAAAGACTGTTAAAGCTTAGTAATTACTAGATATAATGTTTATTTTCAAAAAGAGTTTTCTATTAACTGCTGACTTTCAGAAGGAGTTACAAGCAATTAAAATAAATGATGATACTTGTATAACCAAACAGCTTATTCTTAAAGAAGCAAGCGATAAGCATTGAGAAAGAATTATATACAAATATTTGTCTTCTTTCACTTTAATTTGTGATTCCCCGGTCTCAATAGACTATTTTGTTAACTTTTTATCCTTGAAAAATGTACGGTCAATGAAAATGCTAAATTTTAACACAAGGTTCGATTATAGAGTTTGGTGTATAAGTCTTTTTGAATGACAGTAGAACGGATGGAGTTCATCGTGTACTGGGCTGCTGAAATCAGCGAAAATTATCCAGCTAAACATATTATCATTTCAATGTCAGTCAAAATGAAAGAGAGAGACAGAGGGCTGTGAGTTAACATAAAAAACAACTGGTTCACTTTCATTTATAGCAACATTTTTCTATCTTACGAATTATTATATCCTGGATGATCCAGATCATGGCATACTGCAGCAGTCAACAGGATACCCAATTCTTCACGTGAGAAATCATTATTTAGTCCACATAAATATAATATCCCATACATCATTTGTGCAACACAAAAACAATGTCGAAAATTATGAAATGGATTGTTACGGTAATTTGCCTGTATGCATAACTGGAAGATAAGAGGATAAAAAGGAATAATAAAAAAAGCTAATGATTGAATAAAACCATACAAAGAACGAAGCATACACAAGTGGAACTTATAAATTAAATTACAAAGACAACATATTCAAATTGTGAAATAAAGTCAGTGAAACATTTAAATCTCAACACTTAAGCATCACTTATGAAAGTAATGGGTTTTAACTAACTGCTACTCATCTATTACATGGTACTCACTGTTAAAAGGAACCTTATTCGAAGGGCATTCAACTAGCTAAGAGACAACATTTTCATAACATAAAGTCACGAATAGAAATTCACTCGTTAGATAGACATTACTGCCGATAACAGTGTTGAGAATGTCTACCGATATAAAAATAATATTTTTTGAATGCAAAAGCATGCAGATTATGAAAATGAAAAAGAGAAGTCTATAATTCCGATAATGCGGACGAACATGAGCTTATCATATAACAGATGACAAAAGTTTTTTCGGATTTCACTTTCAAACATTTTTTCTTCATCAAGGTTTGTATTTTAAGGAAGTTTTATGCGATTATGTTGAAGTAAGGTCAAGACCAGGTTCTTTTGCACTGGATGCTGCTGATAAGAATTTATATTAATAGTATATATTGAGAGAACGACAGAAATCATAAATAATTACCAGCGATGGGTAAATATTCTGCCAAGAGAAACGCAAAGAACAGTGTGAGAGTATTCAGAACAAATCGAGATAGAAGAAGAAGAGGAAATGAGGCATATTGTGAAAATGACTGTTTTAGTGGAAATGTACAATATTTCATCACTACTGTCAGTAATAAACACTCCTTCCTATATCTTTTTCTTGTAGTTTCCTACACTTTTATCTACTGTCAGATACTTAGTGTTCTCAGTATTGAACTGTTTTAAGGTCATACTTTGATTTACTTACTTCTCACCCTTTACTAAATCATGCTAGGAATCTAGGATAGAGTTCATTACAAATGTTATTTTGGATAACTTATTTTGGCTAAGTATTCTCGACTAACTGATGAATTGTAATAATAAGAATGTAATCTTGCATTTGGAAGCAGTTCCGCATAATTTTTATGATTAAAAGCTTAACACTGAGTGAATTGAACCCATTGTCATTCCTGTCATCTGACGAAAATATTATTATAAGGAAAAGTATTATTATTATTATATTATTAGTCCCTTGGGTTCCTAATGGAACATAGGGCCTCAGTAGCACGTCTCCAGTGACCTCTGTTCTCTGAAATCTCTTGAACCCGGCTCCATGACTGCCCACAACCTCTCATTTCCTCCTCGCACGATCTCCTCCATGTCATCCTAGGACGTCCAACTCGTCGCTTCCCATCTGGGTTCCACTCGAGTGCTTAGCCTGGTGCGTGATGTCCCCAGTCGGCCTTCTCAGTGTACGCCTAGTTCAATCCATCTCCACTCCTTTCCACTGCATATTTGTTGAGCGGTTGCTTCTTGGTTGGTTCGTTGGCAGGACAGAGTGAGTTTCTTGTTGCTTATTCCTTCTGGCAATCCATCTGATCTGCAGTAACGAGCCATTGTAGGCAGTTGTTGATGAATATCTGTAGTTTGTTGGAGATGCCTTTCGTAACGCGCCAAGTCTCTGAACCATACAGAAGCACTGACTTGATGTTGGTGTTGAAAATTCGCATCTTGTTCCACATGCTGAGTGCAGTGCAGAAGATCTCCACACTGGTTTGAGGCTAATGAACGCCTGTTTTACTATCTTTCCGATCCTGGCTTTGATGTCCTCGTTTGTGCCACCTGTAGTTGAAACAGTGCTGCCTATGTGGTGGGTGAAAGAGGGTTCTTCCTTCAAGTTTCTCTCTTTGGTGGTGGTTGGAGCCTGTTGTTGTTGATGGTGGCGTTGGTTGGGTATCATCATCACTTCTGTATTCTCTACGTCCACTTGAAGGAAGTATTGTCTTCACTGCTCTCCCTCTTCTGTCAACTTGTTTGTTTTCGCCTGTTGATCTTCAAGTTTGTGTGACATTGGACATAAGTCATCGGCGGTAAAACCCAAATCTTCTAGGATCTTTTCCCCGGTCCAGCATATCCTCCTCTTCTCACTCCTCACTGTTTGTTGCATGATCAGTCCACCACAATCGCGAAGATCATGGGCGATGGAAGGCAGCCTTGTCTTACTCCTGTCTTTACTTCAAAGGCATCACTGAGCTTCCCATTGTGAATCACTTGGCATGTAGCTTCGTCATATTGCATATAGTTGTTGAATAAGGTTAGTGAAGGTTTGTGGTACTCCATAGTGCAGAAGCAACTGCTAAATTACTCCTCGGTCGATACTGTCAAAGGTCTTTCTTAAATCGACGGAGTTGAGGGGACTGCTATTGTATGCTTTGTTCTATGATGATGCGTAGTACAGCGTTGCAATTTGATCCGTACATGATTCGTACCTCCTGAAGCTAGCCAGCCTGTTCCGGTCATAGTTTTGAATGCAGTGCATTTTTTAGGCTCTTCAGGATAATGTAGCGTAATATAGGAGCGTGATTCCTCTCCAGTTATTGCGAAGGCTTAGATCGCCCTTCTTCGGGAGTTTGACAAGGTAACCCTTCTTCTAATAAAGAAAAGTATACCAACTAGTAATCATAACTCAACTTTTAAACATGACTGAACGTTCCTGATCGGAAAAAAGTACCACAACAATGCAACGAATCTCATGTTGTCTAGCCCTGAGTGTGGATCAAATTCTATTGATCATTTTTACAGTATGACCACCAAGCTTGAAGGCTCACCATGGTGGTACGCTTTGATGCATCTGCTTTGGTTGGAAGTAATTTTCAGAAAACCTAGGACCTAAGTTTCGTGCTTCTTGGCACTCGTCAGCGTGGCGTATCTGCAGCGCCAACTGAATTGATGTCTGCTTTGAGATTTAAACCCACTTCATTCAATGTTGTAGTTACTAAGGTTATCACTGAGCTACTGAGGCTGCAACGGACCTCCTTTATTACTGGATTACACATATTACATATAATCCACGAAATTCAGATCTTTCAGGGCTTCCTGCCGATCGCATGCAACCAGCTACTATCCACCAGAGTGCATCACGGTGCCCCTTAGCTTGGTGGCCCTCGAAGATGACCGATAGAATTATGTCAGGACTCAGGTCTAGACAAAATGAGGTTAGTTGCTCTCCAGTGACTAACCATTGTACCTAATCTAGTCCTACACGGGGCCAGTCGTGACCCGAACACCTCAGTGGTAACGTCACTGACTGTAACATTGAGTGACTTGGGTTTGAAATTCACATCAATTCCCTTGAGGTTGCAGATACGCCCTGTTGATGAGTGTCAACAAACAGGAAACCTAGGGCTAGGGTTTTCTGTTGATCGCCTCCAACCAACTAACACATTCAGCAAACACATTGCAACATTTTTGTGATGTTACTTTGTTTTTCCACCCCTTCTCTTATACAGGTTTACAGTGATTGTTAACAAATCATAAGCAATAAAAAGCTTTTTCATAGGTGACAAATACATTTTTCCTATATGTCACCAAACAACTAATGTAAACTGGTAGTTTCCGTGAAAAGTGAAGCTTAATATTTTAGTTAGAGATTCTGTGTTTCGGCGTAGTAAGCCCCCGACAATTTATTAACTATTGAAAGAAATATTTTGCTTATAAGGTTTGAAAGTGGTTATCACACATTAATACCTACAGACCAGTTGAACACGATTCTCAGTTAGAAGATAGGTAGATTAATTACAACCTATCCATATATTTTAACTCAGTGGATTCTAATATAACCAGCCATTATCGATTCTATGGAGGCATCTTTTTGCTTAGGCAGAAACAACTTAAGAAACCTTTGAACCATAAACTTCGGACAATTATCATTTTTTCAAAAGGAAATTTTATCTGTGAATATATTTCAAACCTCAGTAGTAAGAAGGTTAGCCAATGAGAAGGAAGCTTTAGGCTATTTCTGACTTTAGAGAATACGTGCTTTTGAAGTAAAACAGACAGCGATGAAGAGGAAGGTTTGTTTCACAGTCTCCTTAATCTAGAAGATTGTTGATAATATATTCATGCTCTTCTAATAAGTTTTATTAGTATTATTATTTACTATTATTTTTTGTATTTTCTATAACTTTATATACAACTAACCGTTTCATCACAACCTTAACTTAGTTTCTAAAGTCGAGTAAGTTTCACAAATTCCTCATCTATCTTAAAAATCTTTCCTGAAGGTCTTCAGTTTTAATCTTCTCCCTCAGGTAGCACCTACGAATTGTTGTCTGTCCATGGTTGTACTTTGATAGCAAGACCAATGTGATTAGGTAGACCTGAACAATATCATGTTCAAAGTTCTCGATGTCATGCAAACTGTGTGAACTACCAGTGAGAAATAAAAGACAGAAGTAATGCAGTGAGATTGTTAATTTAAGTCACTCTAAATATGCAAAGCTAGAAAGTCCGCTTTTGATATGAACAATAATAAAACTAATAAAATGATTCTCTTGGTCTAAACTAGTTTACGATATTAGTGGTTTGTAGCAAAGAGATGGAATGGGTGCAAGTAAGGAGAATAGCTGAACATTTTAAGTGGACCAACAAGGACATCGTCTTGTTTTCAAAGTGTATGTTGACTACATTTACTGTTCGCTGTTGAGCTTTGATTCGAATTTATCCCTTTATAATGCATTTAAAAACTTCTAATTTCTTGACAGATGTATATCTCAAAGTCTGGATATTTCATAACGGTAAGTGTAGTTTGAAAAGTACTTTTGTAGAATGCACCTAGAATTTGTGAAATGAGACAGGGATGGTTTTGGTCACTCGTTGCACACGATCTGATTAGATTTCAAGTTTGGGTGAATGCCGAAAATAAGAATTGCGATAGTCGGTATGATACTCGTTGCACAAGAGGTGGTTGTTGTACCCCAGTGGCTTGGTGCGTAACGTTTTGGCGTTTGGAGCGATAGATAATGGGTTTAAGTCTCAATGAGAACAATATCACTCATTGAGATGCAGGTACATCCAGCCGATGAGTCCCAAGTAGGATGAAACACGCTTCCTAGATTCCTCTGGTAGTCGTCATGGGTCCATTTTAAATTGAATTCATAATTCAGACAGTAGAGCACAAACCTGGTAACCTACAGGCAGCTGATCCTAATCTTGCTGTGACTCGGGGTTTTTTCACCTTCAATCATTACTCCAGATCACCAAAGAAAATAAGTAAATCACTTTCTGAGGAACGAATAGTCCCTTAGGTTAAAGCCATAACTTTATCAAGATGTTCGTAATGCAAAAATACTTGTGGGTATGTACATTTTCCCGCTTACTCTTCCTACAAACTGTTTCATAATTCAATCAATATGGTTGTAATCTTCCACACTACCTTCTCATTTGCTTCGGTAGTTGATATTCATTACAGTCCCTTTTTATTGGCGTAGGTTAGGGTGGCTTTAGCACTGAGTGGAATGAGTTTGAATCTCTGAGGGGATATAAGTTCTTGCTGGGCTGCAGACACTCCTTGCCAACGAATGCCAGCAAGCAGAAAACCTTGACGGCTAGAGGTTTCCCCGCTGACTACTTTCAATCTAGTGATTTTAGTCACTTATTGGGTTCTCTGTCCTTGGCTGTATTCATTTTTGTGCACCTTACTATCACTGTCGTAAGAATTAGCGCAAATTCGTATGAATACTGAGGTATAACTACATTTTACAAACTATAGTTGTCCACCCATAAGTCGTTTCAGTATCCACAGAGAATAAAGATATTTTCCTTGATGTCATCTCTTATCACTATTCTTAATATTGAGCGCCCGTTCCAGATGAGGAGATTCCAATAAAAGAAGTTCAGGTGTTTCAAAAAGGTCCAAGAGTTCTATCCAGCATGGTTACAAAGAGGTAATAATGAGGCGATAAGCAGCGCTATAACTGAATATATTGTGAACGCCAATTACGCTATCTCAAGAACCTCCTCGTTCATAGTCATCTAGAAAGTAAAAAGAAACCCTCCAAAGGCTGTATATCTTCGTATTCTCCGAATCATCGAAGCTTTTGACATCCATATGGAGAAACCCGAACTGTGTATGCAAAAGAAGACTGTCCAACCCCTTCTCCCTTCATGGTCTTAGTTTTCAGTCTTTGAAATCTCCTCTACCCAGCCCCAACCTTTTCTTTTCATTTTTTGCTTTGACATTATTCAATTCTTAAGTAGTTTGCTACTCATTCTTGTTGCTATGTTCTGCCTGATCACAATTCAGTTTACAATTATGTCGTCATGTTACGAAACTTCTTGTCGAAACTTATTTTGATTAATATTTACTACTCATCAGTTCTTGGTTCTTTTATTTTAGTGACAGCCCATTTGTACTGCCATACTTGATGAACCGTTTTTAGCTATCAAGTCTTTACACTAGAAAAATGTGTAAATTTGCGATTGTACAGCTTGGAAAATGAAATCGCCGAAAAGATGCTCTTCGCTGAAATACTTGAACTTCTTTCAAGTTGTTTGTTTGTATATTATAAAGTTAGCAACCAGAAATCATCAGAGTAAGCCATGATGGTGAGCTTCGAAGCTTGGTAACCATATTGCAAAATAATTGAGAGATTTTGGTCAATGCATAGGGTTAGACAATATGAAATAGCTTGCTATACGGTAACCAAACAATGCAGGTCAAAATAATGCTCTACCTACTGTTCACTTATCTCGCACCACATTCTAGAGGTTAGAATTTTTGACACGAATTAACATGTTTTGCTTCTGTTTAAGGTACCCTGTATATCAGAACTCAGAATATTCAAGTTGAATGCACGGATGATGCGTACTTAGAGTATCATAAAACAAGATATCGTTATCGAATCATTGTAACCGTGAACATTTTGGCTTCTGAACCTGTACAAAATTCAACACCATTCTCCAGAATTCCTTTGGTAATGTGAATCAGAGCAGAAATTTAGGGCTAAAACCTCACTAGTTAACCTCTTTCTTTTGTAACTATCAGTCTCATCATCTGTGATGCAGTTGTAGCGTTGAGTTTGATTATTATATCAAGATTTTAAAATAATTCAAAAGTGTTCAGGAGATTATCACTTACCAACCATCGCTTCAAGGTCAGTGGATTAATGTTAAACTCTGCAACTACACCCAGCTCATTATACATGTGCTCCAATAAAGCTAACATCTTGAAAGAAAAATAAAAACTGGACATTAAAAAAATTCAAAGTATTTTTATCAAATTTAACGAGAAAGTTATCTGAATTTTCTGGTTAATTCTAAAAGATTCTTAGTTTTGACAATATGACAAATTATTCTCACTGCTGGGGAGTTACATGATGTTCCTAGCTCAGCAGAAGTCATAGGAGAAACAAAGTACATATACAGTGGAATCATATTGATAGAATACTCACTTCCTTGGTGAAACAGACCTAAACTTATATAGCAGCAAATTACCTGGGCTATAAGCATTTAAAGCGTAAAACCCAAGTTAGTATTGCTCTACAGAAGATCAAGGTAGAATAGGTAGTCTATTAGTCATGCTAATAATCTGAGAACTAGAACAAAATCATAACTTGGATATATTAACACTAATAGTTATGAAACTAAAATTTTAGCCGGGAAAATCTTCTTTGGAGTTGTTTTATTTTCGAAGCCGTAAAGTCGTCCTCATTGAAATCTTTGAGCAGATGAGAATAATGCATTATAAGTAAATTTTTAATGAAAAATTTACTTATATTCATGCATTCTAGGTACACTGCTAATGAGCTTGGACCCGAACGATCGAAACGATCGTCAAGCACCTAGGTCAATATGGTCTGGCTGGTGAGATCAAAAAATCAGACTGAGTGGTTTCTAACTACTCAAGTATTTTAGTTGTGTAGGAAACGAGAAGACTGAGATACAGGAAGGAGTCTTTATTACTGACGGTAGTGATGAAATACTGTATACTTCTACTAAAACAGTCATTTTCACAATATGCCTAATTTCCTCTTCTTCTTCTCCTTCTTCTTCTTCTTCTATCTCGATTTGTTCTGAATACTCTCACACGGTCCTCTGCATTTCTCTTGGCAGAATATTTACTCATCGCTGGTAATTATTTATGATTTCTGTCGTTCTGTCAATATATACTATTAATATAAATTCTTATCAGCAGCACCCACTACAGTAGTATATTTCGCCAGATGATAGTAAATTTCTTCGTTTAAATATATGTTACGAGTTTACGAGGTAATAAGGCGAAGTAGAATGAAGTAGTTAGAGCTTAATACTTTCACAAAACATGGGCCTGTTATTACAAAACATACAAAAACAGGTTCCGGTGATTGTATTTCAATGATTTTGGCAGAATGAGTTAGATCAAAGAGCAGTTTTCTCACATTGTTTTGGCTAGATTTGTAAATATTATCTAACTGGGTGTCAAGCTGCGAAGCTGTCACCGACTCAGGTTTGCAATTGGATGACAGAATAATTCTGTTTTCTTTTTTAGCAACAAATACGTTCCATAAACTACTAAAATAGCAGCCAACATTCGCCTTTTTAGATTTTTTTTTCTTATAACATACTGTGATACAATACCGTGTCGAGGATGGGCTTTCAAGTACGATTTGTTTCTCATCATTACATCGCATTAGTGACCTAATTTTCAAACTTCATTTGCACATTTCATAAACTCTCAATCCTTCATGTATGGTGATATTAGACGTTTCTTAATGTCTACAACCTATGGTCAGTTATTCTTGTTGCGTTTATTACGTGTTGATAGGACGAATATTCGTCCAGCAGTTAGCCTCTCATTCAACCTAGTTATTTTCGAGTTAGGAGTTTGACTAATAAGTTAGGAAATTTAAGCCAGCACTTGAAACACATTATCCGCGGTGTTTGTGAAAAGTTTTATAATGATCTGTTAAGGAAGAAGAAATAACTATGCCAGTAATGACTGCAACATTTCTAAACCAGAGAGCAAACCTTCTGTAGTGCTGTGCCATTTATATCCGAAAAACACAAGCACAGTATTTGTAGGCGAAATAATCCTATAGACCTAGTTAGGAAGAATGACGTAATCTACCATAGGCGGAAGAGACTTCTTCCTTTAGGTTTCTCCCATTCATGATGATAGGTGCTTGTTGTTGGTTGGTTGGGTATCTTCATCACCTCTGTCTTCTCTACATTCATTTGGATCTCATCTTCCCTGCCCCTCTTCTGTCAGCTTGTTAGTTTTTGCCAGTAGATCTCCGAGTTTGTGCGACAAGACATTAGACATAAATCACCGTTGGTGACGAAATCCAAATCTTCTAAGGCTTACATCACTCACTTACTTATCTGCAAACCAATGGAGTGAGTAAAAATTTTAATCCTTCAGGATTTAAAACTCTCACTACACTTTTGGGTAGTTGAAAAATTATGGTGCAAAAATTAAAATGATTAATTGTTAGAAAATTATTTAAAAGGTAGGATGATAACTTTTGTTGATTGGTATTTACAATAGAATTCGCTCAGCCGTAAGGACTGGATATCATAAAATGAACAACTCTCCAGTGACCATTTATCCTACCTAATCCAATCTCAATGGTCGTCAGTCTCGGCCCGATTGGCTCAATGGTGACATCTACGACTGCACTGTTTGGTGACACGTCTTCATATACCTGAGGGAAGATCAGGTACGTCGAGGCAGCTGATATAACTTGTTGTTGAGTGCCCAGTAACATGAAACTTTAGTTGAGCAGGATTTCCTACCGATTTCTTAAACCAACTAAAATAAATCTCAAGGTACTTCAATAGTGACTCTTCCAACTTAATGATCTTACTTAGAAATTATCGACAGATTTAAATCGCCACTTGGGATGGGGCAAAATGTATATAGTTACTTTCCAGTGACCAATTACTTCATAGTATTGATCAGCCGAACATATTAGCTGAGTAACTTTGACACAGAGTAAACATCAACGAGCTGTAATCATTACGAAGATGCAGAATCAAGGAAAGTATTGAATAAGTCAGAATACCTTGAGTGACCTCACTTAGATAGTTGTAGATTAATCCCTCTTAATGCAAATATCAGCACTTAAGCATTTATTTGCGTTAGCTATCCCTAACCGAATTAACTGTGAACTAAACTGTATATTTGTCATTTTGAAGTCACTTTTAATGTCAATATTATACTCCATGTCAAGCGAACAATAGAACACTAATCTATCAAGGGCACAGAGTCCTTGATGGGATAAGCTTTTATGATGTACTTGGTTATAAATCCTAATCTTTATATTCAAAGACACCTAACTGCTCACAGAAGAATAATTTGTGAGATGCTTCGAAAAGTTTATTTCTCCCAACCGCTTTTTCTTTCTGTAGTAGTAGTAATAACAACTATTTGATTTTCACGCAAAGTCATCTTTATCTTACTGTTGTTTTGGTTCATGATTATCTCCTTGACGACTTGCATGAAGTGTAATCCGAATCCTATATACCACCGCATATCATTGAACTGGCTCACTTCAACCTTGCACTTCAAACTTTCCTATCATCCTCTAATGAATTATTTGGTTGAAATCCTGATATATTGTGGTTTTGATTCATTTCATTAGTTTGCTTTATTCAGGCTGTAAGCAGCTGAAGAGAATACAGCGAAACGTGAACATTACCAAATAACGTGTTTTCATCACCTAGTCAGGCTAACTTACAACTCAAATATTACGATATCACTTAATGCCTAGCTACGCCAACACTTCAAGGTGATGAAATCAAACTAAGGAAAAAGGTATAATTATGAAATTTAAGAAAGATTCAACTACCAGTAAAGAGTTTCAAAGGAAGTGAAAATATAGTCAAATATAGCAGGTCCCGTGACAAAGTTGATTTGAATATCAGACAAACGGTTTGTATGTAACATCATACGGGAACTAAAACTGTCTCACTTTGTGCTTTGCATCATGTGGGCGAATCAAACAGCAAATATCAGTCTTTGTGATTGGTGCATTTTTGCTGCTATGTCACCAATTATAATTCTGTCAACATTGTAAAATTGTTTTTAATTAATTACCTGACATTTCAGGTAGTGTCTTACCTCATTCGGTTCCCAGTGCCAAATGTCGAATGTAGGCTTCTTTAGAAGGTCGATGGTTGATTGTGTTAATGTGTACTGTGGGATAAAAAAAGGGTAACTACATATGAAAAGTAAAATTACCAATTCTTTTGCTGAGTTTATAAACATGAATATTTCAAGTACGTTAAAACCAAAAATTGATATGTTTCGCCGACAAACAGTTTTAGATCACTTATGCCGATCAGGATTTCTAGCTGACCGAAATAAAAATGATCTAACCAGAAAATAACTGTTTGTAACTGTCATCAGCGGCATACACAGACTGCTTAGACATAGGCAGCTAATTCATACAGAACACTCAAATTTTGGTCAGAAACTTAAAAAAAGGTAATGATATAAAGACGCCATAGGTTTGGTGAAGTGGTAGACATTTCTAGCTCCAGTGAATGATACACAGGTAGATCTGTTAAGTCAATAGTTAAGAACTGATGGATGCAACCTTGAATGATTGTGAAACCGATGCTTAAATATACGTCTGAAATACTGAATGGTCTTACAGTGAATAATTAAACTTTGTGAAATTTTAACTATTGAATGTAATGAACGATTTTTATTTATTTAAAATGAAGTGGGAACAACAAGTTAAATCTTGTTAGGGGAATCACTTTTCAGTTGTATTTTTATGTTGTCTGCTGGTTGTGTAAAAGAGGTTTGTCAGCTTAAACTAACGAAAGTTCATTCACCTCAAGTCAAGTGAACAAAGAACCCCTGTAAATGAGGAAAAATTATTGTATCTTCGAGGAATTTTCAGCACTAAAATAGCAGTGTCTTCTTCACTTGTAATAACTCTACACAAATTTGCAGTCCCTGAAAGCTTCTCGTACAAGTTTATCTCAGTACAGAGGTCATGATCGAACTTAGTTAACATTATAAGCTTCAAAGATTGGTAGAAAAATTGTTTTTGTGTCTGTATTAGCTCATAAACATGCAGCTTACAGCTGCCTCATGTTATCCAGTTTGAAGATTTCTACCTCTTTAAATATATTTATGAAAAAAAAACATTAAATTTACTTCTTTGTTAAGATGCACGCATACCCTTCAACAGCTCTAATCAAAAGTTTTGTATGGGGAAATTTGTAAGCTTCAAAAAAATAAAATAATGAAGATATAGAGGAGGTATATTGCATCTAAGAACTTAAGGGATATTTCAATAGTAGATTTCAGTCTTCAACAGTTTTACAGTAAATGTAAATACTTTAGGCTAGTCTTTTCATCGCTTTCAACTCAGAATTGGCTGTAACATAATTTAAGTTGGTGTTAAGTTAGTAAACACTACAATAAAGTGTTGAATTGTAAAAACTGACCTTTTCCAGAACAGGTAAGTCTTGCATCTCTAGAATTTTGACACCACTACTATTTAATCTAAGATTTCCTGGATAAGAACGTTCTGCACTAAAACGTATATTTAAAACAAAATATTTTTAAGCAGGATATGATAATGAAAGTATAAGCAACATAGGAAGTGTTCATTAGGCTCAAAATAACAATATTCTTATATAATGTCAATAATCCTGATAAGTTTCTCTTTTTTAAATTAAACGAGTCAAACAACAAAAAAGTATTAATTACTGAATAACGTTTTGGATACAACGTATTGTTCATGGGCATATCGAGTAAATTCACAACGCTTTAAGACTATTTGTAAAGCTGTATACTCTGTCCTTCCTCTTAAAAATATCCTCTGTAATATGATCAAATTATAAATGATTTACAAATCACACAGTTCACATTGACATTTCTCTCAGCTGAGTAGTTTTCAACTACGAAATCTACAGATCACTGAGAGTGGCTTGTGAACACTCATATTGTTCATTGGTATAATATCCCCTGTAGTTTGAAAGGTCCTATTGATCGAATTGGGGCAGAGCGGTTAGCATTAACAATTTACTCGGTCTTCTGCATAGATCAGAATCGTCATTCATGGTCACTTAGTTTATCCAAGTACAAAACTGTAACTAAATCGGGAGTTGTCGACCCCGATAAGATAAGTTTTCCAGAAAAAAGTTTGATTATTGCTATGCATGAGACTATCAAAAACTACACAGCCGCATGAAGCATAACATCAATCTTACGAATAAACTTATAAGGGTTAACGGGGAGACTGGTCCTGGATTCCAGTCTCATGGGCAACACCATCACTCACTAGGGTACAAGTACATCGAACTGACGAGTCACAAATGGGTAGAAATGAACTTCCTGGATTCCACCAATGGCCACTAAGTAAGCTGTGACCAAATACTTGTTTACTGAATAAACATTAAATGCGTTCGACAGGAATAATTCAGCCTCTGTTAAAGATGCATGGAAAATTCTGCCATTCATATCACAACGGAGGGAGAGAGTTCGAATTCTACAAGCCGTATCTCCGAGTTGAGATGAAAATGGGAATGTTATCCACTAAATAATATTGATTCATTATTTGGTACATGTAGTGAACAAGCCAAAATGGAATTACAATGTGCCAAAGTGACACAGCTTTATTCTTTGATTATTGGACATGATAAATCTTGACAGATTTCTACATATTCTGCTGATCTGCTATGATATTTCCCGTGTTTTATACTTTGATATTACTTTCAAAACTGCCGGTTAAGAGGACAGACATGATCCTTGAAATATTTTCCACTGTGTCAGCCATTACAGTATTACGGAACTTGAAGGTTTATGAAAGCATCTCTGTTTTTGATGTGATTATTTCTTCAATATTGATTATGATAGTAATAATACTGGTGAGTGATAATAATGTTAGTGATAACAATGAGAATATTAATACTGAAAAGATTCTTCTTCTTGAAACAACCTAAATGAACATCAATTAAGTAGCTTGGTAATAGCGTAAAACAGAAAGCCTTCATGGTCTAGACAATATCTCCACTTCAAGAGTTTTGTTCCAATTCAATATAAAAGGAATTTAATCAAAATCTTATTTGATAGAGCAAAGAAAATTTGTTTCAACTATACAAGTGACTATGAAATAAAGAAATTGAAACATATCCTTGTCAAAAATGGCTACCCTGAAGGCTTTGCCAATAAATATTCGAAAAGTAGACAATACAAAACAGTATTTCTCGTGGTTCCAAAAAAGTCAGTATTTATTAAATTGCCTTTTGACTGAGATGATGTCTTAGAAAAAGTTAAGCGGAGGCTAGACAAATTCATCAAAAGGACTTATTATACAGCTAAGCTAGTACTTCTGAGCACCACTAGGCTGGTCTAGCAGTAATCAAGAAAAGGCATGACTACAATTCTTGACACATCTATCTGCAGATACCAATTCGAATGTACTTAACGAAGCCAATACATAGGTTGTATGGAAAGACGTCTGCCTACTCGTATGACTGAGCATTTACCTAAACGGTTAAGGTAAATCGAAACAGAAATCCTATGGAGTTTGATTTAGGAAACACTTAATGGATTATTGACATGACGTTGACACCGCTAAGGCCTTCTAGGTTGTCAGGAGACAGTGAAATGATTGGAATCGTGGAAGGATATGTGATTATAGTTCGTAAACCAAGCCTGTGCTACGGAAAAAGATGGTAGTCACCCCGAGTCTACCCTGATAGAGGTGTCGAAATGTTTTGAACTTACTTTTATTTTTGCTAATGTTTTGTTTTTCTAATTATTTCTCCTTGTGCTTAGCATATTTACCTCTCTATTACCATTCTGCTGTACTATCATGTCCTCTTGAACTTCTCCGCTTAATAGTCAAATGACTTATCTCCATAGTCATTACCATTGTTGTAGTCCAACCATTACTCTAGCCTCTTTTACTTTTACGCTGTTACCAAGCTTCCTAATTGATATTTGTTTACCTTATTTCAAAATGATGCGATTTCTAATCTTTTTAAAATTCATAAATAATTGAACGTTTCTGGTAAATTCGATTTGTTTCTGCATTTACATCCTGTCCTACTGTATTGTTATGCTTTCCACTCTATAGGAAGGAGATAAAGACTAGAAAAACGGTCATAACATATTCTTCACAACACCATTTTTTAATACTACCTAACTAATAGCTAGATAGCTAGCTAGATAATTGCAAACAAATGAACATCATCTACCAGTATGACAACATGCTTCAAAATCCTTCAGTTATATATACATATTGCTTAACTATGCTGGAAATGCACCCAATACTTTATTGCTGCAGATATTTGCAGAGCCAGTTTGACCTGAATGCAGAGCGGAAAACAGTATTTTTTATTATATAAAAACATGCGACGCCTGATTTGCCAGATTGTAACCATTTCCGTACTATTACCAAGATCCTACACCTATATAAATGAGTACTGTCTTATTTGGAGCCAGAAATGACGTGGATTCCTACACGATGTCCTGAAATTATTCAAAATAATTACTACTACCAAGTTTTGTCAGCTTATCTTATCTCACAGCTACACCTGTGACTATGTAACTCTCTGATTAAGGGAAATAAGAAGTAAATATCATACGGTTTAACAAATCTATTCAGAAGATATTACGATATAGAAAGAGTAGTAATATTCATCACAACGGAAGTCAGCCTTTTTGAACAAAATATTAATTTGCTGCTTTCCACAGCCTTTCAAAGTACAGCTTAATTAAATATTAAGGCGAATCAAATAAACATTTTAGCATCACTCTGTTTCATGCTTGATCACCTAAAATCTAAGTTAATTCAATGGAAATTTTAAACCGAGGGGTGACTTTCAGTCGAAAATCCATGTTGATGTGTTGCTACGTAGGCCGTAAATACGGCAAATACTCTTTGTAGCTGTTTAGGGCCAAATCAGTGGTGTATTGAGCTAAGTGTAATAAAAAAACATCCAGCAGTTTATTGAGCAATACAAACGCAATACAAATACAAACGCCAGTGTACAATACAGTCAGTTGCTTCTTAGTTCCATTGACTTCCATCATCAACGTCATTATTTATTTCCTGGAGATACTCTTACGAGCAGTGTTGATTAACCTGTGAGACAGTCGGAATATTACTATATTTTAATGTATACTTAGAAGCAGAACGTGATATATCCGTAGGCAGCAACTTTTTATCGCCTTATAAACCTTCTTACTAATTTTTATTCAGCGCAAGTAAAAAGAAATTCATCTCTGCAGCTTCATTCCAGAATATTTAACTCTTACCTCTTATCAGTTCTTAACCTTAATCTATAACTTTGACACAGTATGAACCGACTACATAACTAATACTAAAGCTTAGGGAATATTAATTACCCTCTGACGATATCTTGATGCAATCCAGGTTCTTAAGTAATTTATTGAGCCATTTAGACTTCCTTCATTCTGACCTTAGGCTTCTTAAAAGTCTGAGAAAAAGAAACACTCACAATAAGAAATATACTACCTTTTGACCAATAGTCAAACGTTTACTTGAAATAAGGTTAACGTCGAAAAATACTGGCGATGTTGATTTTACAGCAGTTGCACAACATCCATCTCATATTACTATTTATTGACATACTTGTTATTCTCCGTTGTTTTGTTCGATCGAACTGTTCTACCTCTATTGGCATTTGGGCTCTTATGCAGATACCTCGATGTTGCCTGAATGTTAATTATGATAAATTGGTTGATTGTGGCTAGCAGAAGAACCCAGGATGAGCATTTCGTCCTATATGGGACTCGTCAGCTGGATGTACATGCACCTGAGTGATGTTGTTCCCGCCAACCAATTTATAATAATTAACAATCAAGCAATATCGTGGTATCCGTATAAGAGCCCATATGCCAATAGAGGTAGAACAATTCGATCCAACAAAAACAACGGAGAATAACAACTACGTGAATAAATAGTAATAACTACTACCCGTTGTACAAGAATTGGCTATCATTCCTCCATGGCAAAGTGGATAACGCCTTGGCGTTTGAAACGATGGGTACGAGATCCGAGTCCCAGTGGGAACGACATCACTGGGGTGCAGGTACATCCAGCTGATGACGAAACGCGCGTCCTGGATTCTTCTGCTAGCCACAACCAACCAATTTGTCCATCTCATAGTTTCATGTTATGTTTTCGAAGTTGATCTATAAAAATCCACAAATCTGCACACTGATAAACCCGGTCGTCGCTGGTTTGAATCTAGCCGCGGTTCAGATTTTCATTTCACCTCCAATCATCAATCAGTATAAACACTAGTCTGCCAAACTACGGCTATTCCAGATAGTTAAATGACAACCAATAAACACTTTATGATGTAATCACTTTTTAATTACTTACTTGTTTGAAAAAGATTTTCCTTCATAGAATTGATTTCTAAGTTCTTGAAGTTCTTTTTTCACCCGGTCCAGATCATTGAGACGATCAGATTCAACTGACATTCGTTATAAAAACAACGTAGGCTATAAGTATACTTATGGAAAGCTTGAAAGACGTCTCATTCAATAGACATTTAAAAGAGTAGATAGTCAACAAATAAAAAAATTCAAGCATTACAATTGAGAGACTACCTTTCTCTTTAAAAGTGGAACTCATAGAAAATCTAATTGAATATTTTCAAAGTTTAGGGCTAATCTTCAACTTTAAGTGTTGTAGTTGCACTGTTGAGTGACTGATTTCTCAGAGTTCATGTACCACGCACATGGTATCAAATGAAGTCGTTTGAAGTCATGATGATATGCTTGTTTGTCATTGCTACCAGATAGTTCTTATGGATTTTGTATTCAAGTTTGAACAGTACAGTCAATATTCTAAGTAAAAGGACGAAATCGATCACACTGTTTCATATTTAAAGCCTAACGATTGCTAACCAAGCTTTTAATTAAACAGTATCCATTCTCAGCCCTAAACATAGGTATTCCTCGATAATATTATATCACAGACCTCCTTGTCTTAGTTTACACAGATTTCATATATCATAGAACAATGGAAGTGAGACGTAAAAGAACTCAGACTGTTTGGTATACAATGTGGGTAGACTGAAAGATGTCTGCTGAACTGAAATATAAAGAAACCTTAAAAGAAACATCAGACTGTCATTTACGTCACTTTATATATATATATATATGAAATGATAATGAGTAATAATTTGTGCTCAAAATATCACCATATCACTGTGTACTATGTCAAATAAATAGATATAATAGGGAATTATTTCCTACCAGAGTACCCAAATTTTACACTTATATTAATCTCAACCAAGGGTAAGAAACTGGAAATCATATCAGTGACTGGATTATACTCCATAGAAATATGACAAAAAATTGATTTTAATAAAACCAGATTTCTATAAAAAGGTTTGCTTTACTCCAAGAAAGATTGACTGCCAAAGATGAATCTGACGAATCTAAATATTTTGAATATATAAAACATTGTACAGTAAGCTGACTGATGACGGCCATTATTATTATTATTACTCAGTTCTACTTTATACTAACAGAGCAAAATAATGAGAATTTGTTGATATCGGTGCATCTTTACCTATGGACATGAATGACAAAACATATCCAATTTATATATTTCCCTATATGTGTATATAAAATTACTTAGTGAATACGAAGTTATCTGTGAACTATGACATTTTTACAGCAGAAGAGTATGAATAACTATATGCAATCATAAAGTGAGATATATACAGTTTGAGACTATATAAGAAGTAACTATACTCGAAAAACAATCAATATGCAAACGCCATAAGACAAAGAGATAAAGCGTAGGTGTTTACCTCATTCAGTTTCTTTGATGTTTCAGTTTTGATAATTTTCTTCTGGAAGCTACAATTGGACTTCCAATACAAACTTTAAAATTACTCTATTTTAAGCACCCTAAAGCTTAAACAAATGGTCACACACACTTAATGTTAACTGTCTTCTGAGTTACCAATATTTGTAGTGCTTTTCAGTGAGATAGTGATTAGAGGCATGGAAGCAAACGTTATAATTTCACTGGAATCTACAATCCTTTTCTTAAGGTATCTAAATTGATTGTCAAAGTACTACTGTCTTACGGATATACCCAAGTGTAAATGTGAAATGCATATCAAACAATCCGAGGGTTGGTATTTTTAGTCCAAAAACACATTTAACTAATAAGAGTTTGCAGCATATACAACCTAGACCTAGTCAAAGATGCAAACCAAATGTCCTCTTTTAGAAACGTTTTGAGAGTTGAACAGTCAAATCTATTATGAAATGCCTTGTCATTCTGTGTATGCTGAAGATATTCAACAAGACACAAGGAAGAAAGAGAATGGGTGCTTTAGTGAACAAACTACTCAAAGTCTTCATTCTGGAAACTATAGAATAGTAAATTTATATTCTTTGTCAAACAAGGTAACAAGTGAAAGGCATCAATACATAAACCATCATTGTCACCGTAAAATACTCAAACACGTTATGGATAGTGATGGTTAATCAAAGTATCCCGTGAATTGTATTATTTTTGGTAAGTTGGGATCAGAAGTTGCGTAACACAAAAAAACTTAGGATAAGAAGTGTGATTAGAAAGACAATCGAGATAAGAAGCAAAAAGAGCACAAAAGTGATCTGGTTTCAAAGAAAGTTCCATTCATTCTTGACTTTGTGGTCTTTCTGACAACACTTGAGTCTTAAAATACTTTGTTATTTCACGTTTCATCTTTTCGAGACTGATTAATAAGATGATGGGGAGTATTTGTAGCTTAGGAGGAAAATAGTGATATTATATTGACCTCTGAGCCGGATGATTGAGTCGTAAAGTTTACAGAACACAACACTACCAAGAAGAGACTCATGAATCCACTCACATTTCAAGCATTCTTCATGTTCATAGCACTTTTGATTATTTCTATTTGTAATGACAGTCTATGAATTGATGGTTTTTCCCGCCGAGACACGAACCTCATACCCATCTCTTTCAAAAGTCAAGGCATTATCCACTATACTACTATACCATAACTGACATTTAGGCAATATCGCGGCATCTGCCAATAAAGGTCGATCAACTCGATCCAATAAAACAACGGAGAATTATAAGTATATCAATAAATGGTACTGATGCTTTTTCCTAGTAATTTTCTTTCACGAATCACTGCCAGTTATCAAATAGTGCAGAGATAATGTCAGAGCATAATTTAAACGTTACGAAATACATTTTGTCCACGGCAAATTATCTTCCTGCAGCATTCTCCGCACCCTCTCACCTACTATTGGAGTCACTTGCAGTAGGATGAAAATGAGAGATGAACCAGACCAGGTGTTTGGTTAGCCGAAATCGGAAATTACTATAAAACAGAGCCAACTAGGGAAGGGTTACCTCATTTCCATGATATTATCTCAAGTGTTGTAACCTAGATTAAATCAATCATTATGCAGAGTTTTTTCTCGCCACCTTTCCGTGTATAGAATCTTTGAAGGACGCTCTAAAGGAGTAAAATAAGCAAACGTACATGCACCACAAACCCATTGTCCTTTGAAATAAGAATCAGCCCGTCAGATTTCTTTCTCAATTTGTTTCCTGACCCCATACAAATAAGGGGGAGAAGTGTTTCATCCAATAAACGTCAGCCAAATACTAAACTACAGTATAGTTCTGTATTCATTAGTTCTAATCACCAAGTGAAATGGTATTACTTAACGGATTAGTACCAGCAAACAATACACCTAGTTTCAAGGGCTCCTGAAAATTAGCAGTCATTGCCTAAGACCAAGATATAGTGCATCAAAGCGCCGCGTCACTTCACTTAGCCGCCACGATGCGAAAACTGATCGACAGACTTATATAAGTGTTAAGGAGTAAGGGCTAGACAACTATATCGGTTCCTCTTTGGTGACCAACTCGTGTGAACTCTCAATAAACTTGGGCATAGATTTATGATTTCCTTAATGGAGTCTTCAAGAAAACTACCTAAGAAGTCAAAAATTACAATAAACCCTGTCTGATCAACTTAGTGCGAATCAAAAATGTGCCTACTCCTTCCTCTTGATCAGTGAAAAATTCGTCAATATGGAAATATGATAAGTGCACCGATAGGCGAGTCTACAAAATCCCCTGTTTTCTATAATGCTGACCCTTAGCTTTGGATAGGTATTTAAGAAATTCTAACTCCAGGACCTTGTACACTGTTTTAGTAAAGCTTGTCCCTCTATATTTTTTGTAAAACGTTTAGCGAAATGAAACACAATAACATTTAGTCTGTTCTCATGAAACCCAATTGGTCTAAGCTGCTGAAAGTCGGAAACAGCGTTCTTAAGTGCTAAAAGAAATTTTGGAAACAACAATTTTGTAAACTAGAAGTTTCCTCTTAATGCGAGTAGTTAAAGCATGATTCTAGGTCGTCAGATAGTTGTGAAATACGTTCTTATCAAAGTTTCAGTCGTCATTCCTAAGGGTTTAATTCTAATCCGTAATATTCGATGAAGGTTTCATAAATACTCGAAAAAACCTCCCAACTTTACTTGAATGATGAGTGTGAGAAAAGTCAACTATTCTCTAATTGCCAGATGGAATTTCAAGTAAACCATTCTTACTTTATCACGAACCGGCAATTTCGGTTACTAAAATAATAAACCCACTGAAGACAACTTTCTTTGTCCAAAATGTGATAGGTCGTATAAAGAAAGTGCTGAAGCTTTTTCTTTCAATGCAATTAAAAACTTATCCGAGCTATTGTCAATCTAAAACAAGACATTAATCTAGTATGGAATTACACTGTAATATTCTTCAAGGGTCGATTGTCGGACTGAGCACTTAAGTTATTCATTTTTTCAAAGTGGAAAATGAGAGCTATAAGTTCAAGAAGCTAAAGGTTTATTAACAAGGGCCTAATAAACTAAGATTTCGTTATCTGTCATTTCAAAAGCAGGAAAAAACGTTTGTGCTTTACCAAGTCAACAAGTTCTTCAAGTGAAACTCTACTGAAGCAGTCTCCTGAAGAGATGTGATAAGTTGAAATACACCCTAATAGGTGAACAGTAAAAGAGCCATATAAACGTGTAGTAGTATAGTGAAAGCAACTTATAAGGATACATGTAATTAGTACATACAGCAACATGAAAAGTGACATCCATAGAATGCTAAAAAATCATGCGAAGTGAACATATGATATTGACTGCAAATACAACGCACATAAAGTTTGCGAAATAACATGCTGAACAAGAAATAATTTGCAAATGAACAAATTTTGGCTAGTCGTAGGAATTTTACCAATAACAGGGATATTTTTCGCGATAAACCATTTCAACGTCACTTTACACTTATACAGTTGTATACAGGATCATAGCAGAAAATCAAATGGATACTTAACTTGTTTTTCAGGTATTCGGTGTCATTTCTCTAATTCATTAGACATCTGAAGTCACACCAGTCGTACGTCCTCGACAAAAATTGGCAGTGAAT